AGAACTCTGAGGCATCCCTTTAATTTACAGATCGTTTTCTAGAGTTTCTGGCAGTGTTGTTGCCTGTAACTAAAGGTAAGGAACCTAGGACTCCAAACCTATCAAAAGTAGTTAGGTCGCTGTTCATTTTCCAAGGGAAATGAAAATACTTCTTCCATAATGCAGGAGTAGAATAAACTCAAGTTGTAGCTTCTGAGTGTGAATAATAACTCTAGCGTAAGAGAATAAGATGACACTTTCTCACTTGAGTAACCACACAGATTGAAATTGAGTGAAATAACCGCAGTGACGGCCTGGAATGTATTGTGACAAATAAATGTAGAGTGAAGTCGTGATTCTACTTAAGCCTCTCCTCATAATGAAGTGTTGAATCAAAGTCATTTTACCTTGCAGAATAATCGCTCCATTTACACTTAAGCGTGGCAATTCCACAACTAGATAGCGAAGAAGATGCATGCAAAGTAACACGTTGCAGGTATGATGAATCAGATGGATTTGAATGTGATCCCTGTGAAGAGCTAGCATAAATGGGCTTCGGAGAAACAATAATACCAACTGTGCCCCTTAACCTTAACTCTCGCCCAAAACAAAACGCCTTTATCGACTTGTAATGACACGAGAATGAGATCCGAATATCATTTCGGACCAACGGAGAAGATAACATGCATGACGAAACATGATGACCAACTTGAAGACAACGAGAGCGAACTTGACTGATATTCTCAAAAAGGAAAGAAACTCGGAAAGAAAAACCATCATGAGAGAAGATTACTGAACTAGAAGGAAGAGCAGAGAGAAGAAGAGATGGAAACTTTAAAATGAAGACCAATATTAGAGGAGAGACACGACTCATCAAATGAAAGAAAGGAACCTAATTTGTTACCTGAAAATGAAGCAACAGACTCAGTATAACAACTAAGAGGGAGACCGAAGACACGACACCAGACGGAGAAACAAGGAAAAGAGTCGGAAGAGAAGAAAAAAGAGTCGTTCTAAGGAAAGACAGCTAGAGTATATCCTTGTAACAACCAAACACCGATATCTAAAACAAAAGTAAGATCAGACGTAGAACTGAAATAAACAACATAAAAAAGACCAAAGTTTTGAACAATTTTAACTGAGCCATGAAGATGCCAGAAAACATTAAATAAAGCTTGAAGCTTAGAAGCATTTAACAGACGAGAATCTAAGAGCTTGAACACAAGATAGTGACACCTACAAAAAGAAACATGAGATCAGGAACGATACCTAGGGAGAAACAGGTTGAAAAAAGAACGAAAACCACAGAAGGAGAAGGAAAAAGAGTAGAAGAAACAAAAAGAAGGCACCAACAGTAGAAAGACAAGAAAAAACTAGATGAAAACTAGAGGAATCGCCATGAAGCAGCAGGAACCGCCATAGCCTCTAGAGAGAAACGAGCTCTCCTTCCCATATTAAAATTTCTACGCTGAAGAATCTCATTATTATTGAGCTGATGTACAACAAACCTAATTTTCTTAAGAAAAAAATAAAATCAATTTCAAGATTAGCAATTTAGCAATTCATTAGTGACCAACAGACATTGCCTTCTTCCACCCTCATTACCTTCGTCACTTTCTTCCTCCTTATCCTATTTGCTATTATTGCTACTATTTTCGGGGAAGGGGTCGAAATGTTGTGATCCTTTAGACGTGTGTGTGACAAGTGTGTTAGATGAGTATGTCTTTAAAATATTGTAATTCGAATTATACGATCAAGCAAGTTCCTATGATCTTTTACCACGATTTTCTAAAAAGGAGTCAAATATACGTGAGAACAACAAAGAGTATGTCATGCTGAGAGTAAGGGTCAATGATATTAACAGTAAAATGAGTGCAACTAAATGCTCTGTAAAGATGGAGAGGAAGATATAGATATAAAACTAGCCTAAGAAGTTGGGTTTGCCGGGGGAAAAAAAAAACGTTTGCCCTGGGTGAGGTTGAGTGACCCAGGGTTACAATTAGTATTTTGCACTGCGCAAGTGCCGTGTAAGTATGGTAGAGTGTCCAGATTCCTTCATTCAAGCATTTATTGCTTATTTATAGAAAGATGGCAATAAGACGCTGCTTTTGAATTGAAGCTTGACATCATTAGGAGCAAATTACTGTGTGCAACTTTGAATCTCCGCGGGTGCACCTCTTCCTAGGGAGCGTTGAGTGTCGTTGTGCCAAGAAATTCGGGAGGTGCACGAAGTTGGTGCGCCTCCGTCAATCACATCCTAAACGCGTCGTTCCGCTTATGCATATAGGGTGGAGTCGGTAATTCGGGTAGGCCAGAATTATTTAAATCGGGCTCAATTCGAGCCGGGCTTATTCGGATCGGGTTTAAAGAATCTTACTCATTTTAAAAAGCCCATATAGTCAAGCCCGACTCTAATATTTTCAGGTTTCAGGCTTATTTAGGCCAGCCTGAATACCCAAAAATTTTTTAAAAATATTTTTCTTTATTTTTTAATCAATTTTAATTTTTAAATAATTTTATTAAATATAAAATATTATTTTAACTCAAAAGGAATAAAAAATAATAACTTATTAACTTTGTAGTTAAGTACTTAAGTAGCTCTGTTACTATTTTGTTGTATTATATACAATTTATTCATGAATATTTCCTTTACTTATAAATTAATATCTTATTGTTTAAATATTGCCCTTATCATGGTTATATAAAAATATTTATAAATTTTAATTAAATTATATTATTTTAATTATGATCAGGTTAATCTCAATTCAACTACGATTAAACCACAAATTTAAAATTATTGCCTTGATTAGCTCAAAGTTTTTAATAACTATTGGATAAATTATACTTTTTATTTTTAAGAATATGAAAAAAATAACCATCATTATATTATATAAAAAATTATTTAATTATGAGTAAAATACTATTTTTAAATTTTTTAACCTTTTATATTGTTTAAACCCTATATATAAAAGGTATTTACTTTAATTCATTTTTAATTTTTAACCAAGTTTGGTATGGATAATAATTAAAAAATTATTTAAAAATATTATTTTATGTATTATATTTGTTTAGTAGTAGAGCCATGAATTTGTACATGCCCAAATTTTATTTTAAAATTATTTTTAATTTAAAATTAATTATTTTATTTTATAAAAAATATAAAATATAATTTTTTGGATAAGAAAATGGTGTGTATATGACTCAACTTTTTTTGTATATGACTCAAATTTTTTTTTTGAAAAAATTTGAGTCTTAAAATATAAAAATATATATCAAAATATATTTTAATTATTATTTTGAGATATTTTATTTGATTAAAAATAATAAAAATTAGAAAATAAAAATATTTTTATTTTTTAAAATAACTATAGTAATACACTCAAATATATGGCATTTTCGAATAAAATGATATAAAAATTTAAAAATAATTAATATTTATTATATTATATATTTTAAAAATTTTATTTTTTTCTATTCGGGTATTCAGGCTGGCCAAATTTTCTCGGGCCTATTCAGGGAATAAAAAATATTATTTTTTTGAACTCAGGCCTAAATTTTTTGGGTAGGTTTAGGTTGGCCCATTGGCTTGGGCCAAATTACCGGCTCTATGGTGGGATTGCCTGAATAGGCCAGAACAATAAAAAGAATATTATTTTTGAGTTCAGGCCTAAATTTTTGAGCGAGTTTAAAGTAGCCATCAAATTTAATCCAAATTACTAGTTTTATTATAAGGCGGGATTGCTATTGGGCCCTCTCTGCTTCCTGATAGAACTAGGCTTAATGGATTATCATTTATCCCTTCAGACCCGGTGCTCTGATTTTGGCTCAACACCTATCATATTAAATTATTCAGCCAAAGAAAAATTAAGGCTTCACCAGAAAAAAAGAAAAATTAAGAACAAAAAAACAAGTTGAATTATTTTGTTGGAATTTTGAAATAATACTTGTTACACTGTTCTTAAAAGTTATAAACATCTCTCCACGTAAAACATCACATGATATTACTTTAATTTTAAAAGTTTTCAATTAAGCACTTTTCATCCATCATTTTCACGAAATTTATTTTCTGAAAACATTTATTTTTAAAATAAATAAAATTTTATATTAATTTATATAAAATTTAATTAAGGCTCTTATTATTTAATGTAAAATTTTAAATCAAAATTAAATTTAAATAATTTATATAAGATAATTCTTGAATAAATTTCCCTTTTTTTAAAGAGTTCTATAATCTAAATTATCATCATCTCTAAATTAATTGCCAGATTTTAATAAAAAATTCCAATAAGTAATACTCTCTCAGATAAAAAAATATTAAATACTTTTTGAGAAATTAAATATTAAAAAATATAAATTATTTTTAGTATTTTAAATTATAATTAATGTATTTTTTTTTAAAAATATTCTCAATAAATAAAATCACTTTATATTTATTTTTAAATAAAACTCTCCATTAAATAATAATAATAAATATAAAAATAATATTAATTTAAAAATAATTGACTAAAGGTGAGATTTGATTAGTCTGGAAGTAACTACTTTTCATGTTAAAATAGAAAAAGCTGTATAATTATTGTACCATGCAGAGTTGATGACATCTTTCTTCTCGACCCTTCTCTCCTAACATTTGGCATTTTGGTCTCCAGAACTGTGGGTGTATTATTGGTCATTGCAGCATAAAGCGTAAGACTATATGGCTTATTCACAATCTTATTCTTTTAGAATAAATTTGAATTTTCACAAATAAAAAACCTGTTCATTTAGGATTTTTTTATAAACAATTATTTGGGCTGAAACTTTTAGTGCGCTTTACTCCACATCATAAGATGACGACGGGGGTTCCAGCCTAGAAAATCCAACAACGGTGTCTCAAAGCAACGGGAACATAGAGAAACCCAGATAATTATTATTACTAATAATTAATTAATATTAAAATGAGAGAGGTCCGAGGCCGAGAGAGAGAGAGAGGCATGCGGAGTTGTCTACTGTGTCTTCAATTGCTTTGTCGTTCACATTCATTCAACTACGAAAGCGATGCGAAACCAAGTAAAAAGGAAGAAGTGTTATTTCTTTTCTTAAATAGACAAAGAGAAATGGCATAATCCTCACTCTTTGTGTAATCATCAAAAGCAGCATGGTGGAGCAGAAAAACTGTTCTAAAGTAGAAACGCAGCAGTACCATCTGTGAGCCGGAGCTATCGTATTTCTTCATTCCCTTTCTTCTTTCTCGAGTCTCGTAATGTTCTCTACTTTACCAATTACAGCGCTACTAACGCGCAGTAGTTATTCCTTCTGCAGCTCTCTGTTCACTGGTTCTCCTTATGCTTGACATTGCAGCTTCTGTTCCATCATTTTCTAATGCTCTTTGTGCTTAACAGTGTCACATGAGACATGAGTCTTCAAATGTCACTCACGACCGATTATCGGTGAGTCTCTCTGCTTTTGATGCTATTACTAACCCCTATTTGTCCAGTAGCTTTCGCCCCCTCCTGCTGGGTTTTATATTCTTTTTCCCATTTGAGAAAAATGCAAGCTTTTCGGTCACACTGAACATTCCTCATGTTCCATGCAATTTGTGTGATACTGCAGTGATTTTCGTGGAGAAAGCATCAAAGTAATCAACTTTAAACTAGTGACAGTTGCTGTTCATTGTTCATTTTTCACGCTTCAATACCTGTGAGGGAAAAGCGCTGAATCAACAGGAGCGGAGCGAAATTTGCAAATTAACTAGCGGGAACGACCGATTCGTTGTTGCGAACCTCTTTAAACTGCCGTTTTCTCTGAAATGTCATATCTTCATCCCAAGGATATGTGAGTTCTTGTCTCCTTGCTAGATATGGCTGAAATTAGGGTTACTAGGGTAGAGCAAGGTCAAACCAAGATAAAAAATGTTCCAATCGCCGTCACCCCAGAAGGTTTTTGGTGTTGCCCTTCTCCAGTTGTGTTTCACAAAAGCCTGAAATCTCAGAACCCTCTCAATAAAACCAAGCCCTCCTCCTCCCCGCCACCACCACCACCTCAAAAAACTAGTATCCAGAAAAATGTAACCCCTGTTAGCGAGAGAAGACCAGCACCTGTGCCACCAAGATCAATGGTTTCTGATGATCAACAGTATGTCGCCCCAGAAAGACATCAAGTTAGTACAGCTATGGTCACGGAGAGATCAGAGAGACCCAAAATTGAGACTTCACCTAGAAAGGTAGCTATTGAATTTGGTGAGTCTGGAACTTGTGATATGAAGTTGGTCTTACTTGGAAAGCAGGGGTTTTGTGTGAAGCTAAGCGTGCACAGGGATGTCCTAAAAGAGAATAGTAGTTTCTTTGCTGATAAACTCTCTGTACAATCTGACTTGTCATGTCTCCAAATTGATGATTGTGAGGATGTTGAAATATATGTTGAGACTGTTGGATTGATGTACTGCAAGGAAATGAAGCAACGGTTGATGAAACAAAGTGTTCCTCGCATACTTCGGATACTTAGGGTAATTCAATAACAGTTTTATGCTTAGAACTTTTTTTTGGGTATAATATTTCTACTTTCTTTATGAGGTATGTTTATGATGATAGATTGTTGTAAAATGCTATGCTTGGGTATTCATGCTACACTGATGGATCTTCGATATGATTCTCTATATCTGCTATCAGTTTAGAAAAAGATAACGTGTACCATTAGTGGTCGAGTTTACTCAGCAATTAGATGCTGAATATACTACCATCTGCAAATTTGTCAGCTACTCAATAGATGCATATCTAAGAATGAACTTGCTGTAACTCTATATGTGTATGTCAAGTTCATGATAATTTAGTAGCTGATATACTGATATGCAATTGAGCATAATGACATTGTAATCCATGTAGCTAACTTCACTTGATGGGATAAGGGTTGTTGTTGTTATTGTATATACTGATATGCAATTGGGAGATCACTGTTTGGTCTTGCTTGTAATTTCAAAATGGTAGTGTCTGCCCCTCTAATTAAAACCCCCCCCCCCCAAAAAAAAAGAATAGTTTAGTTCTATGCACTAGCTTTTTCTGCGCAATGTTCTTAAAGGGGAATTGCTTCCATCACATGAGCGATAAAATAGAATGTGCTTTTTCTGATTCATGCTGACCAAAAGCAAGCTTAACAGTTGCCCAAAAAGTAGAGATGAGAACTGTAGCATCTCCCACATTTTTCGTAGTGAACTGTGCTACTAATATGAACTGTAGTGAATGATGGTTATGTAAACTTGCATCATATGGTGGTGACTTCTGCCAAACTATCGTTATCGCCAGGTACATACCTTTTTACTTTTGGCTATTTGGTCAGAATGCCTTAGTATTTACTGTCAAACTGTTGACAGCAATACTGAAAGTTGAGCACTCAGTGGACTGTGCAATTAATGAAAAATTTACTGATAAACTCGAAAGGATCAATAATTCATTGTTTATAATTTTATTCATTGTTGAGATTGATTGAAGGATATATAAAGTTTAAGATAAAGTGATACACTTCAACATGCTTGTTCTTTGTAAGCTATTTGTTCTTGATGAGTTTTTCATCACTCAGGTCTGGATGCAAACATCGTATTATATTTGTTGCCTTTTGGATGAAAAAGGAGTTTAACTTGTTTATTCCTGCTTAATCTGCTGTTCACACTTCACAACTTTCTACTATCATTCTTCCTCTTAATATTTGATTTACTCTACTTACATACATATTCATGACTTGTTAACTAATCCTGTGCTGTGGAGGTTGTAAATGAGTTTGGTTCGCTTTTCAGTGTCAAAATAACTGCAATTTCCTCTTAAGTTCTCGTTCAGACAGCATACCATCTAGCTTCTCATGCTCTTGGATTTGGTGTGTTTTAATGTCTTTGTCTGTGGCATCCTTCCTTTCTTTTGCTTCATAGCACTAACTACTGGCTTGAGTGAGTTTTATCCTCCTGTGCCCTTCTAAATAAGGCAAACAATTATATTTTTTGAAACGCCAGTTGAAAGCATATATGCTGAGATCTTTGAAAGAATTTGAGCTATTTAGATGTTACTTTTTATGTTTTATATTTATGGCGTTATTTCTGATAATTTGTTACGCAAGACTTGTCTACTTGGTTTAACTTGGTATGTATGAAACCATATCTTGCAAGCACTGAAGAAAATCTAAAGGGAACTTTTCTGCAGGTTGCAGAACTTGTTGGCTTCACCAGCTGTATCCAGTCATGTTTGGAGTACTTGGAGGCAGTCCCTTGGGTTGGAAATGAAGAAGAAGAAAAAGTGGTCTCAACAATACTGCGACTCCAAGGGGAAGGAGTTGGTGTCAACCCTGTGTTGAAACGAGTTTTCTCTGATATCACCAAGGCCCCAAATGATACTTTATCCTGCATCATTGAACTTGTTCTCACAAGCAAGGAGGAAAAAGGACGCCGAGAGATGAAAACGATAGTTCTGAAGCTTCTCAAAGAGAACAACATTGTTCCAGGTCATTCTGGCCCATCAGACATCTGTAAAGAAATGATTTACAGATCATGCAGAAGCTGCTTGGATTCTCTATTGTCTCTGTTTAGGCAGGCTGCAGAACTAGAGCTGTCCGGTAAACCTGCCACCAACAAAGAAGCCATTGTAAAACACATAGCACTTGAAGCTGATAACTTCTTGTGGTTACTAGAGATACTAGTCAACAGACAAGCTGCAGATGAACTAGCAGTGATGTGGGCGAACCAGCAGGAATTGGCTGTCCTTCACAAGGAGCTACCTATTGTATCCCGGTATCATGTTAGTTGCATCTCGGCAGGATTATACGTAGGTATAGGAAGGGGGGAGTTGTTGCCGTCTATGGGCACGCGTCAGTTGTTGTTACAGACATGGTTACAGCCTCTGATCAATGACTTCTGCTGGTTACAACATGGATGCAGGTCGTTTGATAGTAAGGTTGTGGAGGAAGGAATTGGGAGGACTATTCTCACTCTACCTCTAGAGGATCAGCAGAGCATCATGCTTTCTTGGGTGGGAAGTTTTTTGAAGGTTGGTGACAAGTGTCCAAACCTCCAGAAAGCTTTTGAGGTTTGGTGGCGGAGAACTTTCACAAGACCTTATGTGGAAGGACGAGGGAATAATAACGTGGGATCTGATTGTAGTTTTTTCAATGTTGTCTAACTTATCAGGCGTGTGTACAATGAGGTTCATGAATATCTTGCAATGGGGTTATGGGCTATTGGAAAGTCACTATAAATTGATGAGTATAGCCAAAGGAATGGTACTGATTGGAGAGTGTGGGGATAAACAGTGTAAACAAATTGCTTGTTGAATCGATGGTATTCAAAATTGGCTTTTTGTGCAAGTTCTTCAAAGGAATGGAATTTTGTGTGTTGTTTCTGGTATTGTAACTAGTTGATGGATGTTCTATGTTCAGTGTATTGCTAAGGACGTGATGCACGTTCAACCCAAAATTTTGAATAAGAAAACTATAATTTGATTTTTCCAAATGACGTTAAACAGGTAAATTTCTTTCTTTAATGTGGCAATGTGGAACAAGATGTAAAGTTTCTGAAAATGTACATGATTGGGCTATGCCTTTTTATAATTGTTACAAACTTACCCTGAATGGAGCGATAAAGATCAGCCTGGCCCATTAAATTATGCTTAGTTCATAGGAATGCTCCTCTTCCTCCTCCTCATGCCTTTTGGGGCTCTAACGAAAACTATTGAAACTTGGACCACTAGATACTGTTTTTCCTTGAATACTAAATAATAAACACCGGAAGATTGAAGGCTGTTATGGATGATATACTCTCTCCATTCCAAGCTAGTTTCATATCTAGGAGACAAATTCAGGATAACATTATTGTCAAACAAGAAACAATGCACCCTATGAAAAAGACTAAAAGGAAGCGTGGTCTAATGGCTGTGAAGATAGATTTAGAGAAGGCATATGATCGCATCAAATGAGATTTTTTCCATCAAGTTCTTGTTGAGGTAGGAATGGAAACTAATTTCATTCATTTGATCATGAGCTGTGTATCCTCTGTCTCTTACAATGTCTTATGGAATGGTAATAAGTTTGAATTTTTTACACCAAGGAGAGGACTCTGACAAGGGGATTTGAGGTTTCCTTTCTTATTTGTGTTATGTATGGATAGGTTGTCTCATATAATTAGTAGGGTAAATGTGCAAATTTGGTCATATACTATTCTTCAAGGAACATTTGGTAGCCTCAACTATCAGATGGTGCAACATAAATTATGAATTTTTAAAAATGAAGTATCTAGTAGCCTGCCATTAACTTCAACTGATGGATATTATGTGAGGCCCACAATGACACGTGGCACAACACGTCAGCATGGTAAAGGTACACATTTGGCTATAAATTATTTTTCGAAGAATAATGGGTAGCCTCTACTATAAAAAAAGGACTAGCCAACACTTTTTCTCAATTTTAACTAAACACCGCTTATTTTCATACTTATGAGGCCCACAAAGCATTAATCTCTCTAATTTTCTTGCCTTTGCTCTTAATCTCAACTTGATAAGAAGAGGTTTAAAGAGTTCTTATTTGAATATATTCACGAAGATAATGTTAACAAAGTAAAAGAAACAATTTTTGGCTAAATTAAGCTAGAATCAAACTTCTACCATGCATAATAAAATCAAACTTCTACTTCATTGACATTGTTCATTTTTTAAAGTTCACAATTTATTTCTCATCATTTGATGGTGTAGGTTATCAGATGCTTCTAGAAAAATAGTTTATAGCTAAATTTTCTATCTTACCCTAATTACTAAAGTAGTGGAGATTGGAGGATGGAATCCAATTCATGTTACTATGGAAGGACCCTTCACTTCACACCTCATGTTTGTTGATGATTTACTCCTATTTGGGGAGGCATATGAGAAGTAGACTTAAATTATAAAGGATTGCTTAAACCTTTTCTCAAAAGCATTGAGAATGAAAGTGAATAAGAAAATGTCTCCCCTAAGGTGGCTCTAGGATTGAAAAGGAAGATTAGAAGCTGAGATGGACATTATTGCTGAAATTGAGATGGATATAGGAATTCCTCTTGCTAGAAACAGAAGGCATATAGATAAATTTCAAAATATTATTCATAGATTTAAGTCCAAACTTGCGGGATGGAATGCTAATTGTCTCTCAATAGTAAGGAGAATTACCTTAGCGAAATTTGTTTTGAGCTTGTTTCCAACCTACCTAGTGTAGGTGGAAAAACTACTTGCCAGTATTTGAAGAGAGATAGAAAAAGTTCAAAGAAATTTCATATAGGGAAAAAATCACTCTCATGCCTACCATCCCATTAGCTGGAATACTTTGACAGTTCCTAAGGCATATGGAGGCTTGGGCTTTAGGACAATGATGTCAGTTAACAAATCATTTGGGGCACAGTTGGCTTGGAAGCTAATCAGTGGTAGTAATAAGCTTTGGGCTGACATTGTGTAGAATAAATATATGCTGAGAAACACGAAGAATCTTCTTGTTGCCAAAGTTGGTGACTCTTTGGTATGGAAGGTTATATGTGATCAAGAAGAGGTTATCGAAGAAGGCACTAAATGGCAAGTAAAAAATGGTGAATTTGTGCATTTTTTGATGACTTCTAGCTATTTCCTGATAGAAAAATCAAGGATATTTGTTTATGGCCCTTGACAAGAGAGGAATTATCAAGCAAAGCAATTGAATGGACTACTTTTGGCACATTGTTCCGGTGGAAGTATGTAGGGATTTATTGTGGTCTTGCCTCCAACGAAGTCTATGGGTAAGGACATTATGATATGGAGTGGTACTTCTAAAGGCACCTTCATCATTAAAAGTTTCTATTTCTTATTGGAAAAAAAAAAAATTCTCCTGCCCTTTACAATGCAACCTTCAAATTTATTTGGAACTGGAAAGTTGTAGAGAGAATTAGATTCTTTCTATGGCAACTCTTCCATGAATGACTACCGACTAACAAATGGACAAGCTCATGGTCTCATAGCCAACCATTTTGTAATTGGTGTCAAATTGGAGTGGAGACCATCCTTCATATTGTTTGTGATTGTCCTTATGCTCAAACCATTTGAAGATAGCTTATTAAGAGAAGGTATCACTCTCTCTATTTTTTTTCTCCTATGCTCTGAAAGACTGGAGTATTTCTAATGTGAAACAGAATTTTAGGGCTACTAGTGAAGGTGAGTAGAATTTATTATGGGGGGTCGTTGTGTGGAAACTATGGAAAAGGTGAAATAACATTATCTTTGATCTTGATTTTCAAAAACCTAATGATCCCTTAGTTGTGATAATGGCTTTTTGGAAATATTTTGTGGACTATGATTTCAAGAAAGAGGAGAGTGGCTCTACTTCTAACAGTCATTCAGTCTCATGGTCAGTCCTTCCCAATAGTTGGGTTGAGTTTAATGTTGATGGTGCAATGTCTATATCCAATGGTAGAGTAGGGTGTGGTGGGGTTTCAAGGGACCATACTGGACATTGAATTGTGGGTTTCTACCATTATTTGGGATCTTGTAATGCTTATGAAGCAGAGGAATGGGCTGTTTTAAAAGGCCTTAGATTTTCTAGGATTTTGGTTTCAGGGAAATAATCCTAGCACTTGATTGCAAGAATTTACTGGACCATTTATCTAAAGAAGGAAATTGTTACAATTCGGGTAGCATGGTTTTTGTTGAAATATTTAACTTGCTAAAATGGAATTGGAAAGTCAGATTGCAATATGTTGCAAAATCAAGCTTGCTAAGAAAAGATTGTCTTATTCTTCTGTTTTTGAAGTAGCCCCTACTATTTTTAGGATTTTAGTTTCCTTTGATGTATCAGGATCTCAATCCCCTTCATTGTAATTTTTTAACACTTGGGCTTTGCCCTCTTTTTTTTTTTTTTTTTTTGGGTGGGGGGGGGGGTGAGGCATGGGTTGATCTAGTGTCATTTTCTTGTTCTATTTTTTTTGTTTACATTATAAGGGTTTTTTTAAGCAAGCATGTACTGGGAAAGTTTTAAATTTTAAGGTTAAATTTGGTTGCCAGAAAGGATGAAAATACAATGAAAATGAATTAAATTATTTTTTTATGGTAAATATGATAAAACTTAATATTACATATAACAAATATGAAAATCATCACATTCTTAAAAAATCTCATGAATCATGCCTTTCAATCTCATGAACTAAATTATTCTCTTCTCTTATAAATATGATTCACTTATTTTCCTCTATATTTTGATCATCTTATTTTTATTTTTATTATTTTTAATTCATTTTATTTTATTTTTTTCTAACAACCAAACATGAACTAAAGTTTTATTCATATCCTATCCTCATTCTTTCCATTTGAACCAGCTTCAACTGGATTTTTCCCCTTAATGTTGTATTAGTTTTTCAATGAAAATTTGGAATCGTATTTTATTTTTGTAAATATCTTTAATGTATAATCTATTTTTTTATACTCTTTAATGTATATTATATTGTTGCCACTGATCAATATTGTTGGGACAGCCGGACGGGTTTGATGTCCTGCCTGATGAACGCTCGGGATGAGTTGGGCAAGTTTTTGCTCGTTGTAAAAAACTTGGCACAAAATAAAAATTGTAAAGTAAAATAAAAAATAGGATTACATTAAAATATTCATACAATTATATTTCTTTGAAAAATAATTTTATGATCAGTAATATAACATTTTTTTTAATAGCTATACATGCTTGATTATTATACATTAACGTGAGCATCTTTTTAATAGAGATTCAAACTAAACTCACAATGCATTCACCTTTCTTCCTTTCAAGCATTCATAATTATTAAATAATGCTATATTATTGATCATAAATTTTTTTTTCATAGTAGCTTGTTTTCATATAATAGAGATTCGAACTAAACTCACCAGTCACTAAGCATTTACCTTACTTTTTAATAATTATGAACGCTTGATCAGGGGTATTTTTTTTATATATTAAGAACTCAATTTAAAATTTTAAAAAATAAGACAACAAATGAAATATAAAAAATTATTGATTCTTTGTTATTATTGCATACATATATTATTCAAATATTAAATGTGGACATCTTTTTAATTGAGATTCCAACTAAAATCAGTTATATGAAAATAAGTTACTAGGAAAAAAAATAAAAAAACTTTAAAAAAATATAAAAAAAATATAACTTTGAGCCCCTGCATTTAACTTAAGTTTTATTATAAATTCTTACACTTTTTTTTAATGTTTTATGTCTTTATATTTTTGTTTTTTAATGTTCTAAGTCCATATAACATCATTCATAGAGAGACATAGAATGCCAAAAATAAAAGTATAGAAATATATAACATAAAAAAATACAAGAATTTATAACAAAATTTAAAAAAAAAAAGTAACTCAAAGTTATATTTTTTTTAAATATATGTA